ACCCAAGAGAGGTGGTATTATTTTACCAGATATACTTGTTACATCAAATGAGCAAACGTTTCCGATTCAAACCTTTTGTCAAGCTTGATTAAGATTTTAATTAGCATTTAAGTGCATACTCAGGTGTTTACTAAATAAGCCTATGGTTAATGTTTCGTCATTGTTGAATAAATGACACATTCCATCCAATTTGGTGGTTATCTCCTTTTTGTCTCGTATTGACTGATCTCCTGTGGCAAAATATTATCGAACCAATTTAGATTTAAAAGCATGAATAGCATCTGACCAAAAGGGATGCCTGTGCAGGTTTCTTTTTGTGCTAATGACAGTTTATGTTAATGCCGGATTAAAAGTTAGTGTGCTATGGAATACTGGTGTGCAGTATATTTGAGTGAGATTGCGATATTTTTGCGCTACTGCGCGATTCTGATGGACTTTTATAGTGAGAATTTATAGACCAATTAAACGCCTGGCTCCTTTAAACATTTTTTTTACAATCGCCATATTCTGTTTTGATGTAATGAAGGCAGTGGAGGAATCAATTGAGGCTGAACCGGCCCGGGCCTCCTCAATTTTTGAAAATTATTTTTTAAAAATGGAGGAAAAATGAAAATTATAAATAAATTTAGGTATGAAAGTGCGATATCCGCCAATCTAGAGGTGCTATAATCATAAATTTGTTTTACCTCAGCCATAACCATGGTGTTTCTGAGGTCGTATTCACCTTCCGTCTGTGAAAGTCCCTCCGTGGGTCCCCTCTATTTCGCATTTCTGGATCATAAAGCTAATGTGGTCCATATAATTGATTGAACAGACGCAAGAAAACACGATCCACAAGCAGAACGACTTAGTACGAAACGCCATTGTATTGCTGTTAAAACGTCAATTACTTGTCAGTAGTACACCTAAGGCTCTTATATTCATTAATTCTTCCAATACATTGATTATTACTGGGCATGATTTGGTTAACCACACCTAAAATCATTTATTAAATTCTTACAATAATATTAATAATAACACACTATATTACCAACCTATCAATTTTAAGTTGCATATTAAATAAATTTAGAGAAAAGAACGAGACGACACTTCCTTGGGGGACCCGTGTCGATAACGCAAACTTTATATACTGTGCAGTAATTAACATCTTCCTTAACTTGAACGTACTAGGGATCACTAAGAAACCTACTAAAGACAGTCAATCAGATGTTGACTAGCAAGCATTTCAATTAATTTGTACATAAGGTCGATGCTATAGCGTTAAATGCACTTGAATAATCTATACAAAGTGTTTTGACGTAAGTTCCAATGCTAACGAGATAAATAACATTCAATATAATTAAGGTAAAAAGCAAGAGCATCATTAGCACTTTGGCCTTTCTTATAAGTCTTTTCAAGTGGGTCCTGAGAGTCGATGTTTAGAGTTTAAGCAGAGCCGCTCGACGAAACAATTACACTAGAAGTGATGCATATAGGTTTAAAGTCATTAAACTCGGTTTCATAATCTCATAAATGGGAATGATTTCTGATGTATTTCATATTTAAGGAACATTCTGTTCTAATCTCATTTGAAACTTGAAACAGGAGGAAGCTCAAAAGAGCAGTTCTTGAGTATGCAGTTACTAAGGCCTAATCTTGATCTTGTCCCACACTCACGCCCTTTTTATTTTAGCTTTGTAAAATACATTTCAAACATTAGATTCGTTTTCACAATCAAAGTCACATTTGTGATTTTCATCAACAACAATTCTTCCGAGTACTGATAATCAGATTATTGAAGTATGTACTAAATTATAGGTTTTAACTCATTACTTTATCCTTACCCACGTGACTGCTTTCTTTGCTTCTTCGAATGTGTTAAAGAAGATAAAGAGACTTCACATAAATTAAGAAGACGTTGACCATTGATATTCCAAATTAAAACCATTCATGATAAAAATGTGTGGTTCATATTCTTTTGAGTTTTCAATTCGAAGTACTTCTGCTCGTGTCAACTGGATTATAACATACACATTGTTAGAACTGGTTATTATCATGGTGATAGTAAACAATGAGTAAAGACGTGCTTCATTAGTGCAAAATACATAACGCAAAAACTATCTCTTCTCTTTTATCTATCTCTCAAGATGTATTGTCAACTTAAAAAAAAAAACCACAATAAAAAAGTACACCATAACAATCAATAAATAAATGTTTTAATGAGTTTTCTTAAGAGATCTAAATATATTTTGCTTTGCATGATAACCACCATGATTGCACTATATCTGGGGGACAATTGATGACAGAGTGGTAAATACAAGTAAAAGCAGGCAAATAGGCTATCATCATGAATTTTCGAGAGATGGTTTATTTCGAGAGATTCTTGCTTGCTCGTGGGGGTGTGAGAGGTCTTCCCACCGATTTTCATGATACTCCATTCTGGGACTCTGCTGGAAATTTGGGACCCCTGGGCCTAAAATATGGTCCTTAGATTAATTAAGCATTTTATGGTAGTCAGACATCAACTTGTTTTTCCATTAACATATTACGAACATTGACACTTAAATATTTTCATTATTCAATATACACAAAACTTTCTTGCAACATTTCTAAAAAAAAGTTTCAAGTTTTCTTTTTTCTCTCATTTTTACGTAAATTACATAATGCAGAACCTGTGATCGACATTTAATAAAGGTAAAGTTAATGTGTAAAAGTACACAGAACAAAAAAAAAAGAAAAAAAAGATTAAATAATAATATCTATATGTGTGATTCGTATATATCATAATTTATTATAAAAACATTGCATTAACGTCACTATTTATTTTAAAGTGGTCTATGATTGGAGGGAAAATGTTCAGTTGGGTCTGCCAAAAACCACGGGCTTTGGTCTCTAAATAGAGGGAACCTTTAATTGGAGAGAATATATATATATATATATTCAAATTTGATTAATTCAAAATACTAGGCCTTAACCATAATTGGACGTCATTCCAAAACTGGCAACTTTCTTGCAACACTTCTAAAAAAGACTTTCAAGCTTTCTTTTTTCTCTCTCTTTTTTACATAAATTACATAATGCAAAACCTGTAATCGAAAATTGGTAAAAAATGATTAAATAATAATATTATTTTTTAAATGTATACTGAATATATATATACAGTACGGTATGTATGTACATATATAAACCTTGATAAAGACCTGAGGATAGGTCGAAATATTGGTTTTCTCCAATAAAGTGTTTGTAAAGTCTATACATGGTATTCATTTCCTATATTCTTTTGTTATAAATATATATATATATAAATTAATATTTCATGTGTTTCAATGTCTATCCTTGATATACCGTTTTTATCTAATTTGATTTCCCATATTTCTAATGCCGGTTTTTAATCTTTGAAGGAATTTGATTTTTCTATCATTCTTAATGTGCAATACTTTAAATTTGTCTACTTGAATTGATGATTTTATGTATTGTAATGCGCTTATGATTTTTTTTTAGATACGGCGCAATATAAACGCTTTTTTTATTATTAGTATTACTATTAACGGTAAAAGTATTTTGTATTAAAACAATTTCAATTTTGTATTAATTTTGTATAAAAATATTTTATAAATCACATAATGCAGAACATGTAATGTATATAAAAATAATGAATGTTTCATAATCAAAATTTTTCAATTTTGTACAAATTTCATAGAACGAACGTTACTCCAAATAAAGAGAGGAAGGCCATGATTCAACGAGAGAAGGCTGTTGCTCATTGGATATTTTCCCCCCCCCCCCTTCCTCCGGATATTTTCCATCAGTATTTTGCCAGCTGTGACATTTGCCCGATATATTATTCTATATTTATTATTATTAATAATAATTATCTTATGAAAACTAAAAAAGTATCATACTTATACAAGATGTAAGCCAAACGATTCAGTTGTGTATCATTTTAATGGCCCTGGCTGTGATTGTGACTATATTGGTCAGACAGGCTGGTGCCATATAACTGAAGTATCTGAACATTCTACACTCTCTTACAGTGTTATTCACATTTAAAAACAATTTCTTTGTTAATTATAAATCGCTAATATATTCCAACACTACAATAATTGATAGTTCATTTAACTGATCCTATCTACTATTCGGGTGGTGGTAAGCCCTGGCTATCCATCGCCTTAATCTATGAAACTGTGGCCTCAATATAAAGAGAGTTGAATTTGTTTATCGGATATTAATCCAACCTCCATTCCTAACTCTCATAATCACCATTGCTTTACTTGCTTTGGTTATCCCACCATTTGCATATTGTAGCATTTTTTGTAATCACCTGGTTCTCATTCCTGAAGATGAACAATAAAAATGAAAACGTTAAATCATTGTCTCCCTCTCTTTATTTTATGTCATTTAAACTAGCATCTGCTGGTTGTTGTAAAAAAATTGTAACCAAAATGTTTGATAGCAATTTCATATTAACATGGTATCCTTTCAAATTACTTACCTACCTACCAGTCAGCATCATGCATTATCTGCACTTGTTGCCTGAGTCTAATAATGATATGATTAACAAGCACTGTACAGTCACTCTACATTTTTAAAGCATTTTAAAATTATACAGTTAGAAAATGTCAAAGGGTCGGTACATACCGTACCATATTTAGTTGGTTCGTTAAGATACTCCATTAATGTTTAACCAATCCTTTACTATCAATATACCCTTTTCATATATAGACCTATATATATATATACTGTATATATATATATACATATATGTGTATATATATATATATATGTATATATATGTATGTATGTATAGCCGTTTATAAATCATAAAGAAAGGTAAATACAGTGTGCGAATAAAGGACGTGATACATCGTGTAGCGTAGCTCTCAACGAATGTTGTCTTATAAATATATAAATAATCAATTAGCATTGCAAAAATGAATAACGGCGATGATGAATTGAAATGGAAAGAGGCATTCAAAACAAGCAAAGCTATTTCCTATGAAGCCCCGTACAAAAAAAAATGGTCGACTTAACTAACTTAACTAAGTAAAACTATACCCTGCCAGACACCATCCCGGTATTTCTACAAAAAGTTTCGGGTGAAAATAAAAAAAGTTTAAAAAATAAAGAATTACAAATACTTCATTTTCGGTTCCTTATACAGCTGTCTTTTGAAAGTAAAATGTGATTTTGAGATTTTAATAATTGAGAGAAGTTATTCCATATTTTTACACCTTGGTATGTTATATATTGTTGGACTATTTGAGTTTTTTTTAAATGTATACGAAGCTGATTTTTATTTCTGGTATTGAGGCCGTAGTGTGATCCAACTATCGTTTGAAAATAACTGTCAAAGATAGATGACAAGCGTTTACGGTATTATATTGACATATAACAGTCAACAATACTGATTAATTAATTTACAGATTGAAATACATATTAATTTTAGTTATATGGTTGTAAAATTTGTCAACATACATACGACAATAATGATAATATAATAAAATCTCAGCGTGTTTAAATGAGTTTATAATTCTTTTGTTTTAATACAATGTCATTGAAGCATGAAGAAAATGTATCTCCGTAATTGAAGTTACTTTTTAAAAAGATTTAACTCAGAATTTAGTCCCTATTAACATAGTTTTTCATTAGACGACGTAAAGCAGATGAGAATTGCCTATGACGGAACACGTAGATGAACGGGTTGATGGCCGAACTGCTGCATAGCAATACCTCCGACATCAATTCGTACCAGTATATATCCGAACGTTCAAACCCAAATAAGAAGATTACAACTCTGACAGAATAAGGTACATAGGCAACAGCGAATAAGCAGACCATCAAAGCGCTTGTTTTAGCTGCTTTAAATTTTTTATGAGCTGATGTTTGTGTGTCGAATGCATTCTGAGCCGCGGCTATGGCGTTCCTGTGCTTTCTTGCCTCCATGAAAATTCGAAAATACATAATAATTAATATAACCACACCTGTTGGAATAATGATCAAGATCAGGCGACGTTGAACTTCAAAGCCTTGTGGATTCATCTGGTAACAAAGGAAAATTCCTTCAATTCGTTTGGTCTTCCAGAACACTTGGACGCTGGCATACAGACCGGCTAGAATCCAAGAAAAAACGATAGCACAATAAATTCGTGTCTGAGTAATAATTTGTCCATATCGTAAAGGTTTAATTATTGCAACATACCGGTCTGCAGTAATAAAAATGAGATGGAGAAACGACGCCGACACAAAAAATTTCACAGGTATGTATTGTAACTGACAATCAACGACGTTCTGCAGGAGAAGGGATCCCCGCACGACAAGCCCCCACACGAAGGTGGGGACACCGATGATCCCCGTAAGTAGATCAACTAATGCTAAACTAGCAAGTAAAGTAAACTGTGGCTGTTGTAAACTAGGAGTTCGGTGAATGACCATAAGAACAAATGCGTTTCCACAAATGATCACAAAGTCTAATGGAATATAAACAGTTGAAACAAATATTAGACTATTCCTTATTTCGTTGGTCGAGTTCCGGGTGTTAATAGCAAACTCATCCATTCTAAAGCCAGACGGAATCTAAACTAACCACATACTGCACTGAGAACCGAAACGCACAGCATATAGATTAATGTTAATGTCGTGACGTCATATATTTCCTTATAGGCCAATACATAGGAGATTATACATTAATACACATATGCCTAAATAGACAGATCACACGAACACAAATATTTTAATGCGTTCTTTAATCGCATTTAATGAACTCATCAAATATATAATTGTACAAACACGCGCGCTTGGAC